TGAAAATGAGGGACTTGGACAAGGATCAGAGAAAGCATTTATTGCACATAAAGAAACAAAGCACTGTTACCATGATCTGTCCAGGGGATGATGGCACCAGGCCCTCTTCCGTGATGTAATGTCATGGGACTTCACTTGTTGGGGGAGGAGGGGGAAAATTAAGCCTGGGAGGAGCAATTTCCCCTCCCCACACAGGCAGAGGGGAATATTTTCCCAGGTGATATGATAGTGGGAGAGTCTGTGGCCTTTAGCCTCCAGGAACTTTCTATTGTACTGTGATTTTAAAATGGAGGTTTTATTCTAGAATGTCCTTGAAGTTTCAGGTTTAATGTTGTCATACTACAAAGTAAGATTGCTATCTTGATCAGTATACTCTGAGGACAGGCCCTATCCATTCTTACTTGGATCCCTACTGGATTCAATTCAGATATAAACCTTGAGAGAGGGCCTACCATGTGTCAGGTGCTGAAAACACAAAGACATCTGATAAGGTTCTAGCCTAGGAGGGACTGGCAGAAGGATGGATAACTGATAACTCCTGACGGGGAGTCCAGAGTGTGGAGTGAAATAACAGTGCTATGAATAAAGGGCTATGAGGGTACTGAGGAGAAAAATTAATTTTTCTAGGGAGATTAAGGGGAACTCTTCTGGAGAAGTGACATTTGATCTCATCTTTGGCCTGAGTCATTAAGCAAAAGGCTTTGAGATGAGAGGGAGGAGGAGAGGGGTGAAGGAGAGAATAACATTCCAACTGAAGGAAACTGTGGGTCAAGGATGTGAGGCAGTGGGCATATTCATTCATTTGTTCAGTCATTTATTGAACAAACAAACATTGGTTGAGGGGCAGATACTCTTCTTAGCATGGGGAAAACAACAGGAAGAAAGACAGACAAGGTCCTTGGTTCTTTTATGGAGTTGACACTTTAGAGAGTTGGATGGGACAGACACAGAAAACAAGTAAATACGTGAACAAGGTAATTTCAGAGAGTGATATGTGGTATGAAGAATATGAGGTGAGAGAAGATATGACAGAGGGTACACTGGCAGGGAGGCATGAAGATTGGGTGGTGAGGGAGACTTCTTGCGAGGAGGCATTTGACTTGGGGACCAAGTGGCAAGGAGGCAGCCTTCTGGGGCAAAGTGTTTCAGGTGGAGGGAACAGCAAATAAAAATACTATAACAGTCTAGGTAGGCCTGGTGCATTTGAGGGAAAGAAAGGCAGCCAGCTTGACTGGAGCAGCATGAGCAAAGCAGTGATAGGCGAAGACCAGAGAGGTTGGCAAACTTGGTTAGCAGTGCCTTATGGGCCATTGTAAGGAGTTTGTTTTGAAAAAGTAACATTTGGTGTGATGAACACTGGGTATTATACTATATATTGGCAAATTCAATTTAAATAAGAAAAGAAAAAGAAAGAGTATCATTTGGTGTCGTGTAGAGAACAGATTGGAAGCCAGATCAGTTGGGAGGCCATGCTTACTCTAGGCAAGAGATGTTGGTGGCTCCAATTAGCAGACAGACGTGTCCGGAACAAATATACAAATATACATTTTTGAAGTAGACCTGACATGACCTGCTGATGGATTAGTGTGGGGGTGAGGGAAAGGAAGGTGTAAACATATCAAATGTGGATGTAGCAACATTGGGAACATGGGATCAGAGAGAAGATGCTGGGAGAGAATGGCTGTTAAGGCTTTGGAAATGAATGTTTGGCCTCACAGACAGACAGTGGTACCAGGCCATTAACAAAGCCAAGCTGATGACCTGTCTGTGAGGCCAGGAACCTCTCAAACTTTTACTGCCAAGCCTCTTACTTTTACCGGCAGTAAGTGTTGTTGTTTTTTAGAACTCTTTGGCTAAACTTGAACAAATTTGTGTCTTTCCCTACATTCTCTCCATCTCATTTTTTGCCCTACAGGATAAATATCTATTCTTATACACTCTCTATTGGTCCCAGTTTCTCTCCTCTGTAGATTCTTTAGAATAGTATCATCCAAGTCAAGCAGGAAGCTCTGTCGGTAATAGGCACTGAGTTTATATGTACCTAGGGGCAATTAGAGGTGCTTGCTTTCAGAGAAGGACAGAAGTTGCTCCTACTACTTTGTTCCACTTTTACCTTCACGCTTAGCAACTCACCATACTTGGCGCTTTTGAGTGGAGGAGGCATAATCAGTCTTAATAAATATTTTTTTGTTGTCCTTTGGCTGGCTGGTTGGTTCTATTGTCTCCTGGTCCTACCGACCTGTTCCCTTCTCCTGTCCCCGGCATACACACTGCAGGCCTGCAGGGGTCCTCAGATCTCCCTCTGAGCCACTGCACCAGGCTTGTCCTCCTTAGCTAACGTTATCTCTTATTTAAACAGAAACAGTAGCCACCAATTTTGTTACATAACATCCAAGTATCCTAGGTGTTAAACTAATGCAGCATCTACTGTCAGGGAATGTTGATCTGGCAACACAAATATTCACCAGGAGAATATTGCTGAAACGTTGTAACAAGTTTGATTTCCTGGCCTTACTTAGAATTTTGGAGGGGAAGGGACTTTAGAAATCATGCTATCTCAATCTTTGTTTTCCGTGTGAAATTTGCCCAGAAGGCACATCAGGGTTAGAAATCAGCCTCATGGTAATCTAAAGAGCCCATCACATTTTAGATAAAGGATTGTTAAACCTTTCTTGTTCATGATTCTTTCTTATCTGAAGAGCTTCCCCCCCCCAGCTTTAGACTTTCCAAGTTTGTCAAATGTGAACAGTGACAGTGACATGGTGCTCCTGCTTACACCCAAACTGCAAATTTGAGACTGATATGTATGTATGATACTCATGAATTTTTGTTGTTTTTACAAACATTTTACTGACATTAGGACTGGATTCACATCCAACCATGCAACGTCTATCAACTGAACACAACATGAATGCGATGTATAGTAACTGAATCAGAGCTATTTTAAAGACAGCTGGGATCCCTGGGTGGCGCAGCGGTTTGGCGCCTGCCTTTGGCCCAGGGCGCGATCCTGGAGACCCAGGATCGAATCCCACATCGGGCTCCCGGTGCATGGAGCCTGCTTCTCCCTCTGCCTCTCTCTCTCTCTCTGTGACTATCATAAATAAATAAATTAATTTAAAAAAAAAAGACAGCTGGATAGACTTGCAGGTGAAGTTAGAGTCACCTGGGGATCTACTACCCCAGTAACAATTCTCAGCTTCTGTGCAAACCAGTATATGGAAGGAGGTGGAGTCAGCTGCATCTCCAGGTGCATCTCACATCCCGAGAGCTGCTCAATAAAACATGGGGTTTCCTACAGCTCTGAGGAACTGCAGAACCTTGGTGGTGATGTGAAAGGGCTGGGCCCCTCTCTTCCCCTCACCCCTGCGGGCATTCTTTCTCATCTCAATCTGACTTGTTTTACTACAGGGACACTGCCCACTCCACCCACCTGGTGCCTTCCTGGATTTCCTGACTACCTGGGCTTATTTTTTAACCTTCTCTTTCTTGAAAAGCACTGATCCAGAACGTGGGCTTCTCCCTTCTGGTCACTGACCATCCTACTTTTGTAGGCTAACCATCCACATTACCCTTCAGAAAACTTGGAAAACCAGCAGCAATAGGAGGCTGGGCGCCTTCCAGTTCCCCTACTACATCTTTCCTACTTTTAGCTGGTTGGAATTACTGGCAGAACCGAGGGAAGTGGAGACTTCCCTGACTTGCTTCTGACTAGGGCCTGGGCTCGTTTGGCATTATCTAGTTAAATTCAACTGGCCCGGGTCCTGGGGACCTCTTCAGGTAACTTAGGCTCTGAGTCAGGAATGGCTAAGGTGCAAGGAGGGAGTTACTGTCTTGGCCCTACAAGTACTATGCAGTCTCCCCACTCCTAACCCTAGGTTCTAGGAATCCCGGCCTTGACCTGGGGACAAAACCCAAGCGCAAATAAACGGTCTCCTTCCAGGCACTGAAAGCCAACCGTCCCCATCCGTCTCTCTGCTCCTCGGCCAGTGGCCCAGCTTAGCCTGGCACGGCAGGAGGAGCACGAGCCGCGGCGGGCCAGACCCGGCGCTCGCCGCACTCCCCGCACCCCAGCCCGGCCGGGGCAGAGGGGTGGGGGGTGGGAGGCTGGGGAAGCGGGGGGCGGAGTTCCGTCCTTCGCTGATTGGCTCGGGGCGGATGGGCTGCGGCCGTGCCGAGCCAACCCGCGACGTGTTGCTAGGTGCCGAGGCGAGGGGATAGGCGCGGGGGCGCGTCCGTCACCCGGCAGCCCCCGGCCCCGACCCGGAGGGATGCGGAGTGGCGGCGGCGGCCGCGGCGGAGACTGTGGCTTTAAGAGCGCGCCCGGAGCCCGGGAGCCAGCCGGGCGGTCCGCTGCTGCTGCGCACCCCGGCGGAGCCGAGCCCTGCACTGGCCGGACGGGGCCGCCTGCGGCCGGGTAAGCGAACCCGGAGCGCGGCGCGGGCCGGGCGCGCGTGGGCGTGGGGCGCGCTGTCAGCGCGGGCGCCGGGCAGCGGGCGCTGGGCACGGGTCCCGGAGTCGCCCCGGCCCGGCGCCCGCGGAGCCCGCGGAGCCCTCGGAGCCCGCGGAGCGCGCGGCGCCCTGTGCCCTGCGCGGCCGAGGCGGGGCCCGGCGTGGGGTCCCCGCGGGGGCTGCGGGCGCTAGGGGGCGGGCGGCGGGCCGCTGAGCCACGTGACCGGTTTGTTTACAAACACTGCCGGGCCCGGCGCCTCCTGCAAAAAACACCCGGGGTGGTGTGGGTCCCCGGGTCGCGGCCCGGGAGTCGTGCGGGGAGCCGGGGGAGTCTAGGGCGCGTGGTTTGGCGGATGGGACTCGGACACCCGGTGGCTGTGGCTCCTCAGCGTAGTTTCTGCGGGTTCGGGCTCCGTCGGGGGCGGGGGGCGGAGGGGGGCGGCGGAGTTGCTTCGGACGCTCTCTGTCCTCGGTGACGCTGGGTCCCGGGGCGCCGCCCTCGGGGCCCCCGCTGCGGGGGGGGGGGTGCTGGCAGCCCTCGAAACTCCCAGCAGCGGTTGGCCGGCCCAGGGCCGAGGTAACCGCAGCCGAGTTCCTGCCTGGCCGCTTCCCGGAGCCTCCGGCTGCCCTTGCCAAGGGGGTGGGCGCCGACTCTCTCCTGCCCGACGGGACCGAGGGCCCTCTCCAGCGGGCACCTCCCAGGACCTGGCGCCAAGGGGCAGCCCCGACCTCCCACTGCTTCAAGTCCACCCTCCTTGGCCGCTGACCTCCTGGGTGTCTTGACTCAAGTGGTGGCTCTTCTCCCGTTGGGGTAACCACCTGTTCTTTTGGACGAAGCCCAGGAGACTGCCACTTCTGACTTCACTCTCAGCTTACAACCGCTTAAAAGGCCAAGTGAGTGAGTGTCCTCCGTTTTTCTCTGTTGCATGTAGCAGCAGACCCTCCCACAGCCCCACCGGTGTGAATGGCACACAAAACTGCCCCTAGCTTTGCTGGAGGTTTTGCTTTCTGGCCGCCTTGTCAATTTGCTGTCTTGGGGTCCTGAGGATCTTTTAAGCGAGTCCTTGCTTCTGGTGAATCTAAAGGCTAATGAGACATCTAGCTATTTATCTTTTCTTTGCCCTTCCTCTCTCTTGTTCCTCTCTTCTGGTCCAGTAAGATGGGCTCCTCTGTCCTAGCGCATTGGTCAATCAGGGTAATTGCTTCCCTGTATCTCATTCAGTAACAGAACATGGGGAGAGCAAGGAAGTTAGGAAGTTTAGAAGTTAAATGACTTGCCCAAGGTAACTCCTGTCACTGGCTCTGGGGAGGGAGATGACCTCACATGTTTGTTCTTCAGTACTCTCCTGGTTATGAAAACTCCAGGCCTTGTAGTCAGTAGGGTCAGGTGATCACTCCCTGGCTTTGCTTTGACTTCGTCATTGCCACAGGATGCAAAGGTGGGCCGAATCTTGAGTTCTGTTTCTCTCCTCATTTCCTTAGCACTTATGCTAAGGCTAAATCTTGTCCCTGATGTGGAACATTTTAATTCCTCTGAGCTGTGATATGAATGGCTATAAGTTCTTTACTGAGAAACTGGTCTGGCCTGAGGAGAGTTGTGCAAACTTCCTTTTGGCACCATCCCTTATTCCCAGCTCCATGGTAAGGGTCTCAGGCAAGAGTGGGGGCCTTGGGTTCCTACCCCTCGAGTTATTTGCCTTATAGGTTTAGTATTTGGTAATAGAATTTCTGGGACCTGTCTTGCTATCTGGTGCTTGAATTAAAATAAAACTTGCTGTTAGGGATGGAAAATGGAAAATAAACATCATGCACAAGAGTACTGTTTTCCTTCTTCCCTCTAGGAGAGTGGTTTTCAAACTTTGAGTGGGATCCAAAGTAAGGAATACCTTTTATATCACTGCACTGAGGTTCACAACTGTGATAAGTTCCAGGAAACAATTACCCTTGTTACCTGCTGTGTGCTCTCTAGCTTTTCTTCTTAATTAAAACAACAACAACAACAAACCAACTGCTGGTCATGGGCTGCTAATTTGATTTATTGACCAAATGGGTGAATGGGTGATGGCCCACAGTTCAAGAAACATTGCTCTAGGGCAGAGGTCCTCAAACTTAAATGTGTACAAAGATGACCTGAATAGTGTTCAGAATTGCGGTCTGTCAGTCCACTCTGGAGATGTTTATTTTCAATGGGGTGCATTTTTAATAAGTGGACTATGAGGTTGTGTGATGCAGGTGGTCAGTAAGAAACCCTGGTCTAATGGGAATTTGGGCAATGAACAATGAAAGGCATTAACTGGATATGAAGCATGTAAAGCCTTAGTCATGTATGTGACCCACTCTATGCAAATCCAAGATCATTCATCTGCTAGTCACACTAGCCTAGACTTTGATAGGTCTAAGGGTATAGCATTGTTTGCTTTCAGCTGCTGTGAAGCGTTGGCTTATAAGGCCCCCATCCCTCCCATACCACCGTGCCCAATCCATTTGAGGGCTGCTGTTCAGTGTTCTGTATGGCTGGATGTTTTTAGGTGCGTGGGGTTGGGGTTGTGAGTAGTGTTGATGAGTCTGCTGTACTATTCATAGATTATGTGAATTTTCATGGTTTTAATGAATTTAATAGTTTTGAGGCAGTGACATAGTTATTATGCCTGGGGTATTAACAGTTGGTCAGCAGAAAATGTTGATGTTGTTGAATAGCTGAGTATTCCAAGCCATGTGGCCTGGGGGAAGGGCAGGCAGGCTGGTGATTTTTCTTGGAGGATGGGGGAGTCAGGGTTTGTCAACAGTTTAGTAAGAAGAGGCACAAGTTCACCTGACCTTGCCTACCTCAGGCCTGGTTCTTATGACAGCTTGGCTCCTGTGTGCAGGTGAATCTTGTTAGTTACCTCTATCTTTACCTTCAAGTACAAACATACAACATCTGATGCATCCACATGTTAGATGTTTCCCTCTCACTGTGTCTAAACATGTTGGTAGAAGAAATTTCCTTAAATTAATCAAAACTGCATTTAGCTTCAAATAGAACTCTCTCCAAATTCAAATTAAACTATGGTCCTTCCTGCCAAAAGTATGCTTTATATGGGAACACTGTCGGATTGTTTAATGTTCAGTTTGGTCAGCTGCTTACATTTAGGATGTTTAGTGTTTTGAGGCTACAATAAAAAAAGAAAGCAACAAATTGATGGCAAAGGATAGGATATCCTAGTATAGAAAAGCAGAGGGAAGAGATGTCTAGATGGGACTGAAATGGAGGATCAGGATCAGTTTCCTTTGTAAATTATCTTGGCATTTCTCTAGGGTCCATCAACAAACCAGTAGGTGAGGGATCCCTGGGTGGCGCAGCGTTTTGGCGCCTGCCTTTGGCCCAGGGCGCGATCCTGGAGACCCCGGATCAAATCCCACGTCGGGCTCCCGGTGCATGGAGCCCGCTTCTCCCTCTGCCTGTGTCTCTGCCTCTCTCTCTCTCTCTCTAGCATAAATAAATAAAAATAATAAAAAAGATAACATTATAAAAAAAAAAAAAACCAGTAGGTGCCCTGACAATTGCATTCCCTTAGCATGAAGGGGTATAAAGTTCTGGAAAGGGAATCATGTTTTAAAATTTTAGCCTCCAATTATGGAAAGCCAGAGCCTGCAGGCTGAAGGTATTTTGTTAGAGTAGATAGTTTTCAGTGATCTTTTCCTTAACAAGAGATGTGACTGGTATCTTTAAAGGACCACACCTACTTGAATTTCCCTGGGATTTGTGAATATAGCCCCCTGAGGGTTTAAAATAAATCGGATTATGCTACTCCCCTGTTTAAAGTTTTCCTGTGGCTTCCTATTGCCCTTTAGACATAATCCACCTTGGTTCCCTGTAGGCACTGCACAGCCTATCCCTTTCCCCCAACTTCTCTTGCCCCGTTTCCTACAGGTCCTTACCTGGTCCATTTTGCTTCAGTCTGCTCTACCTGCACCAGCTTTCCTCAGGTTTCTATAACGTTGAAGGTTTGTGTTTGTTTTTGTCATTGGGCCTTTCTCTTGGTAGTTACCCTTTGCAGAATGCCATTCTCCAGACGTTTACATGATGGGATCTCACTTGGGTCTCAGAGAGCCCCTCTGGAACAAGTCTTCCCTTCTCTGCCCCTCAACCTCTCTTAATCTCTTCAAGGCACGTTAATACCATCTGGAAATACATTGTCTATTCGATGGCCCATGGAAGCTTGGGAGCTTCTGTCTCGCTCACTACTGACAGTCCCTGGCACGGGTAGCACTGGATAAATATCTACCCGTTGGTGGAATGAATGAATGACTAGAGAGCCAAGATTTTGAGTCTCTAAGAGTAGGAAATAATAACTTTTATTTTCAGGAAGAGAAGAGGAAAAGAATTTTTCTCTCCCTTTTCCTGGAGTGTGATAGAGTTCCCTTGGAATTTATTTCAGGATTTCTGCTTTTCACAATATTTTTCACCCTTTCATACTTTTTTTTTTTAAGATTTTATTTATTTTTTCATGAGAGGCACAGAGAAGGCAAAGACATAGGCAGAGGGAGAAACAGGCTCCTCACAGGGAGTCTGATGTGGGACTCGATCCCAGAATTCCGGGATCACCCCCTGAGCCAAAGGCAGATGCTCAACCACTGAGCCACCCAGGTGCCCCAGCCTTTTATACTTTTTAATAGATTTCTAAAAGCTCCTTTGTCATTTTGTTATGGTTGTCAGTAAGCAACTCTCGCAATCCCAGTAGCTTTATTTTGTTTTCACTGTTCTGACAAGCATTTCTATCAGTAATCACATTTTTTAAAAAGATTTTATTTGTTTATTCACAAGAGAGAGAGGGGGGAGAGAGAGAGAGGCAGGCTCCATGCAGGGAGCCCGATGTGGGACTTGATCCTGGGACTCCAGGATCATGCCCTGGGCCGAAGGCAGGCTAAACTGCTGAGCCACCCAGGGATCCCTCACACTATAAGTAAGGGCTAAGAGCCTGGGCTAGGAACCAGAAAGGTCTGGATAGTTAGCTCTGTGACTTGGGCAATTTGCTAAAATTTTCTCTAAATCTCTGTTCCTTATTTGTAAAATAGGACTAATAGTTACTATCACACAGAATTGATGGGAAGAGTAAATGACAGGATGTATAGGAATGCAAGCACAGAGCCTGACACATAAGTACTTGCTGTTAGCTTTTATTTGTTTTATTTTTAAAAGATTTTATTTGTTTATTTACTTACTTGAGAGAGAGAGAGAGAGAGAGAGCACGCGCACAAGCTGGGGTGGGGGGGGGCAGAGGGAGAGAATCTCAAGGACACTTGGCCAAGGGGCTGAGGCTTAGCCTGACATGGGGCTCGATCTCACAGTCCTGAGATCATGACCTGAGTGGAAACCAAGAGTCCCATACTTAACAGATTGAGCCCCCCCCAGGCTCCCTGCTGTTAGCTTTTAATAACAACAACACTCATAGTAATAGATTTCCCTACTCTCTTTGGCAGGAATTCCCGATCTGTTGATTTGGGAGTGTGTGGTAAGAGGAAGATCTTAAATCAGTGCCAGTAAATGAAGACCAAACATGTCACTTAGATCTATCAGAACTAGAAAGGAAGTTAGAAATCATCAAATCAGGGGCGCCTGGGTGGCTCAGTGGATTAAGCCTCTGACTCTTGATTTAATCTCAGGTCATGATCTCAAAGTCGTGAGATCTAGCCTAACATGTGGCTCCATGCTCAGCATAGAATCTGCTTGAGATCCTCTCCCTCTCCCCCTCTCTCCCTCTCTCCCCCTCTGCCTTTCCCTCATACTTTCTCTCTAAAATAAATAAATTAAAAACCCCAGAAATCATCTAATCACAAATTGATGCCTAACTTTTACTAACACCTCTGTGGAAGAAGTCATGGAAATTTTTGGAAGGATATGTTGTCTGGCTGTTC